GTGTCAGTGTGTTAGGGCAACCTGGTTTTTTACTGTGAGCTGGAAGCAATGAGGAGGTGGTTTATTTGAGGTCATCAGGGCCCCTGAAGGGGAGCTGTGCCTGGTGCCTGGCAGGTCAAGGCCCCAGGGGATTGGTGCCTGCAGGTGAATGCTTAGGGATGATTGGTGAGTGAGCAGAGTTGGGGAAGGGGCTGGAAGATTGTGGGTGGGATTCTCAGGTAGAATGCCAAGTTATATCTGATTGGTGGATGGCTAGACTGGCGTGAACTTCGTGAGCTGTGAGGAAGAGGAAAGGGTGCCAGGTCCAGGGTGGAATATTTGTATAACTCCTTACAGAAAGGAGGAAGAGACAGAGAGGAAGATCTTTCATCTGATGATTCACTGCCCAAGTGACCACAACGGCCGGAGCTGAGCCCATCCAAAGCCAGGAGCCAGGAACCTCCTCCAGGTCTCCCACACAGGTGCAGGGTCCCAAGGGCTTGGGCCATCCTTGACTGCTTTCCCAGGCCACAAGCAGGGAGCTTGATGGGAATCAGAGCTGCTGGGATAAGAACCGGCGCCAATATGGGATTCTGGCGCGTTCAAGGAAAGGACTTCAGCGGCTAGGCCACCGTGTCGGGCTCCTGCAGGGTGGTTAATCCCACTGTTAGGGTGGCAGCTATTCTAGCTTCAGAAGTTTCAGGACATGGCAGCTTTTATACCAAAACCTAAGCAGCAAATATAAGGTGAGAGGAAGAGACAGAGGAGCTGAGACCAGACACAATCTGGAAGAACAGTGGCAGTGATGAAAGGGCAAGTGCTGTCCTGGCAAGGACCACCAGTTTGGAGATCAGTGGTGATGCTGAAGGGGCAAGCTCACCCAGAGATGACACTGTCACTCTGACCTCTCTGGTCCATGGCAGCACATTCCTTCCTCTTGGCCGAGTGTCCCTTTCCCCTTTATAAGTCACTGCCTTTACAAGGTTGGCCCTTGTTTTCCACTGACAGAATAATCCTATGGGCACGAAGCCTCTCAGATGCAATGCAGAGGCAGGGCCGCCAATTCTAGTTTCCAAATACCTGAGAACAAGACTCTTGCCCCATAGGAAGCCTCTAGGACTGGCACACAGTAAAGAATGAACAGGAGAAAGATCAAATTTCAGAAAACCCATTATGAGCTTGGGCACATTAGTTACAGCATCGTCAACTTGAACATCAGCAAAAGGAAAAGGAGAAGAGGAGCAGCTAGAATAAACCAGGGAGACTGAGTTTTAAGAAAGCCTGGATTCCAGAAAGGCAGAATTAATAAAATGAAAGGAAGGCAGTGTTGTAGCTTCCCTCTTCTGGCCTAGGAATGTTGTGAATGTTCATATGGCTAAAAGAAATCAATGATGGCTTCCTGGAGCAGGCAATATTTGAAGACAAAAACGAAAGAGGGAGCTAAGCACCAGCCTGTCACAGTCCAGGCAGGAAATGGTGATTGGGGTAGGAAATTCATTAAAGAGTTTAGTGAAGGGACCATTACTGAAAATCAAGGGAGCATTTAAGGGACATGAGCAGGGACATTCTATGGTATTGTGATATGCCCTGAGGCTACAGCAAGAGCCACTACTGGGGACTGGGGAACAGGAGAAAAGCATTTCTGAAGTGAAGGAGTCTTGTATTCAGTACAAAGTCCCCCCAGGGGCTATGGCTGCCACAATAGGGAGGTGGTTCTTTCACCTGCTTAGGGAGGAGATTGGAGATGGGGGTCAGTCCCCATGTGCAGGGCAGACTGGAAAAGATCAGGGAAGAGGGAAGAAGGTTATTTATTTATCTATTTAGATTTACTTATTTTTATTGGAATGTCAGATTTGCAGAGAGAAGGAGAGACAAATAGATCTTTTATACGCTGGTTCACTCCCCAAGTGGCCGCAACAGCTGAAGCTGAGCCAATCCAAAGCCAAGAACCAGGAGCTTCTTCATGGTCTCCTACATAGATGCAGGGTCCCAAGGCCTTGGGCTGTCTTTCACTGCTTTTCCTAGACCACAAGCGGGGAGCTGGATTGGAAGTGGAGCAGCTAGGACAAGAAAAAGTGGAATGCTGTGCTTGGAGGCAGAAGATTAGCCAATTAACTTTGTGCTGGGCCCTGAGAGGGGGGTTTATAAATGAAGAACAATCAGACCAAATACTTCCCTTTAAGCTTTTTCAGTCCAGAAGGAAAGCTGGATGTGGAGTAAGGGTTAGTAGAGCCACAGGTAGTAATTACTGGGTGTTCTATTCTAGACACTGCGTTTCCCACACATACCAGCCCTGGTTCCACCTTTAAAGCCTTCCGTTGAAGCCATCACTGCTGTTTGGCTCATTTGGTTGGGTGGGTGAACATCATGCCCAGATTCACATAGCCTGTCAAGCTGCCTGAGCCTAATGTGATCCCCATGCTGTAATCTTCCGGCTCATACTCCCAATTACACTGCAGCCCACTGGCAAGGGCAGCTACACACTTTGTCTGGAGTGTTGTACTTAAATGCTGCTACCACTGGAAAGGGTTCAGATTTTGAAATGAAACTTGCATGCACTTGTCTCAGCAAAGTTTATTAGTTTGTTAATTAATTATGCCTTACTTGCTATGTGTCTCTCCTGAGACTTCTCCAAGTTGTATTTGCAAGTCTTTACCCTTTTCTCAACCTCCATTAAAAAAACTGTAGGTTTCTCTGACTTCATTCCTCCCGAGCTTACTTTCTACCCATGAGCCCATGCTGATATTGCCCGCACTTACTTGTAAATCATTGTAAGACCACAGAAATGGAAAGTGTTCAGCAGATGTATTTGACATTGGGTGTTTGTGTATGTATGTGTGTCTGCTTCAATATAAAATGTGTTTTTTTTTTTTCTAGCTTGCTCTCCATTTGCATGATCCCCATCCCCCAGTCATGTCATCTACTCTTTCTCACTCCCTCACCAGGTATTGCTCAGTCTGGTAAGCACTGCAGCCTCACACCAAGTGGCCTAAACATCAGTGTTGTGGGTGAGGCTATGTGTGGTCCGATCTCTAGGCAAAGTCTTTCCCCATGAAATTACCACTCTTGCATCAGAAGTGCAGGGAGAAGAGGGACAGAGTCCAGAGTCCATGCCGTCATGACCTACTTCAGCACTGGAGATGGGGAGAAGTGGTGTGAGACTTGGCCTCTCAGCTGGTCTGATTCCCTATCTACACAGGGTTCAGGACAGCCCTACAGGCAGCAGTGTCTGGCTCAAGCTCATGCTCTTGCTTCCAACTGTGCTCTGGCTGGAGATGCAGGAAGTAAGGTGAGTGCTGAGTGTATTCTTGGCCAAGCACAGCATTTGAATCACCAAGTAAACAAAGATTGGGTCCATCAGAGGAGCACAGATGAGCTGAGCTGCCCAGGCTGGGCTCAGGGAGCTGCCTGCTGGGCAGGCTCAGCTGTGGGGAATAAGGACTGTTTAGAGGGCTCCTTGGAACCCTGACTCTACCTGGCAGCTGTGTGTGTGGCACACAGCAAACACATAGGACTCGGCTCAGAAACTGCACTGGGATCCTTTTGCTGAGCAGACCCAGAATAAAGGGAGGGACAGGAGAAGAACCATAATCTCAGAAATCAGAATTGCCACAGTGCTTAGAGGAACTCTAGAGCTCAGTGGTGCAGTCTAAGCTGGAATCCCATTAAGGGACCAGCTCCAGGTCGCTCATCTGAGTGTCAGATCTGAAATAGGTACCAGGTCTATGACTTCTAAGGACTCTATTGAGACATTGATTTTTTTTTTTCTACAGCAGTCCCTAATAAATAGGAAAAAAGAACTGAAGACACATTTTTTTTTTTCATGGTAGCAAAGTGGATTCTGGGGATACTGGGGAAAGCTTTCAGATTCAAACACTTGGGATCTTCTCAGGCTGCTGTGTCAACTCCTCCTCTGTCTTCGCATATGTAGAAGCTGCTGGCCATAGTTAGGTGTGGTTCCCTGAGAGGCAGTGGGAAATCGTTACTGCATATATTGACTTGTGCAACCACAACTACAGAAAGAAAAAATATTGGGTATAATGAATCTACAGTTAGTTCATTGATGGTTGTCAGAAGGCAATGAGCTCATGGGAGCTACCTTAAAGCTGCCTTGACCTTCCAAGGCAGCAAGTGCAGGTGGGAAAAAGTGTTGTCATCAAAATATGCATCATATACATACGCCCAGTTTCCTGCTTCATACTATAATTTAGCCCAAAAAAAAAAAAATTTTCCAAATTATAGAACTTGTTGAACTCCAATCATCGATGTTCAGAGAGGAAATGACTCGCTGATGGCCACCCAGCCATTAAACTTTTGTCCTGTAACAGGCCAGAAAGTAACCCTTTGTGTTATAGGTTTTCTGATGTTCAATGTAATTCATATTTATTATGAAAACTAGAGAGAAACATGTTTTTAGGCATGGGGAGGGGATGCCAGCAGCAGAGCAGTCCCAGGACCACCACTGAGAGAATTTTCTTGCATTCCTCTGGTCTTCCTACCCTGTCAAGTGTTTCCTGGGTCAGGCTGTCCTCTACCACCTGCCTCCCACATTCACAGCAGCATCTTGCATCTGTCCACTGCCCTGCTGCACTCGTCTGCTTCCTCAACTAGCACTCCAAATGGACTAGCCTTCATCCACCCCACAAATAGTATTGGAGAGGCTCCTATCTTTAGGGTTGCCTGATTTCATAAATGAAAACACAACATATTTCATTTGACAAATTGACCCTTCTTTGCTTTTGGTACTAGGGACTTAGTAGAGGATGAAATACAAGTGTCTCTCCCTTCATAGAACTTACTTTTCAGAGCAAGGTGACAGATCACACACAAAGAAAACCAAACTGGTTATGATCTGATAGGTGCTGTGAGCAAAAAGCAAACAGGTATTCAGGTCGCTTGGGGGTTGCTCAGGGGAGGGGTGTCCAGTGTCCTCCCTTCACTCCTGCCTGGCTCCACCTCTTGCCCTTGCTAATAGAGAGTAACCCTTGAAACAACTGGCTCTCCTGGCTGAGCTGTAGAGAACAATCAGCTCCCCAACCTTTTCTCCCCAAGGTGAAGCAGCAAGTGCTTGGAGATACAGCATCTGCTGGTGCAGTTGTCTGCGATCATCCTCATGGACAAGGATGGGACCAGTCAGCGCCTCAGAGGGAGGCGATACCCCATCGTGGCCTCTGAATGCTCCCCATTTGCACGAGGATGGAACCTCTCCGAAGCCATTGCTAGACAGAAGAAGGCAGGTGAGGACGCTGTTTGAAAGACTAGAGAGTCTACCTATGTGTTCTGCTTGCTCCTCTTAGCCCTTTCACAAATGATCTCGATGATTCCTGAAAAGTCCCTTTTTCTGGACTGTTTAAAGTGTTAGTTCAAGTTTCTGGAGGAAGAGGATATTCATATGTCTAATATTTTATCTAATAGCTTACTACTTTGTATGAAGTCCTGCTACCCACTGTGTGCTTAAGAAAGACTAATATTGTTGAAAAATATGACTGGGATGGTCAAGTGTTATGACTCAGTGGGTGAAGCAGCAACTTGGAATGCCTGTGTGTCCTGGATCTGGAGTGTCTAGAATGGAGCCCTGTCTCCAGTTCTGAGCCAGCTTCCTGCTAATGCTAACCCTGGGAGGCAGCAGGTGATGGCTCAAGAAGCCAGTTCTCTGCCACCCACCTGGGAGACTCAGAATAAGTTTTTGGTTCCTGACCAAAGCCAAGCTAATGTAGGCATCTGGAGAGTCAACCAGCAGCTAGTACATCTATCACTTTCTGTTACTCCTCCAAATTAATTTTTAAAAATAAGCTTTAAAAAGCATACATGGGTGTCCTTTTAGTGGAATACTGGTAACTCTGAAGAGACGGATGACAATTTATAGAACAATGGTAATAACTTGCACAGCTCCTGCTGCTTGGTGCAAATGACTTTTCACTGACAGAGAATACACATTTCTCTAAGTCAAATTCTCATTTGAAAGAGTTAACATTTTTACCAGTCTCCTCATTCATTAGTCAACGAAACAAAATCTCTGATATAAATTCTTATATTGTTACTCTTTTTGTAAATTACCCTTTTGTTTAAGATTCTATTTTTATTAGAAAGTCATATATGTAATATATATGTATGTCAGAGAGGAGGAAAGACAGATAGGAAGATCTTCTGTTTGCTGACTCACTCCCCAAGTGGCCACAAAGGCCAGAGCTTAGCCAATTCGAAGTCAGGAGAGCTAAAAGCCTCTTCCGGGTCTCCCATGTGGGTGCAGGGTCCAAGGCTTTGGGCCATCCTCTGCTGTTTTCCAAGACCACAAGCAGGGAGCTGGATGGGAAACGGGGCTGCCAGGATTAGGTTTCCACTCCCAAGATGCCAGTGTCTGGAAAATTATGAAATCCTTATGACGTATATGGCAAAGGCTCCACACTGTCTGATCGAGGGAGGACTTTATTTATTTATTTATTTATTATTTATCTATTAATTTATTTATAATTTTCCCTGCCACGTCCCCAAATCCCCTTACCCCCACCAAATTCCCCTATCATTACTATAGAATAGCTCTCCATAAACAGTCACGTGTTCATCATTGTGGGCACGGACAATGGCAGAGTCCAGCCTCCCATTGTCAAGATACAGCTAATAGTTTCATTAGTAGTCCATTTTTGATCTGGAAGTAGAGATGCACACTGCACTGCATCCTCACATCTGGACATGATAGTCTCCATTACACAGTCACCTCACATCCCTCTTAAATGAAAAGCCACAATACAAAGTCAGAGGGAGGACTTTCAAGGAAGAACACACTCAGCAAATGAAGATGGCCTGCTGGGGATAATGACCAATCAAACAAAAAACCCAAAGTGCAGATTTCAGGACAAGGTGCCAGGGACTTGCTCATTGAAACCCATTCCATTCCTTTAGGAAGATGACAGGGACTGGCTGCTCCCTGTCTCTTTAATGCCCACAACAATAATAGCTGTCCAATATTTGGCAGAAATTTACTTGGGAAATTACATTGGCATTAGGCCATTACATTTCTATACACTTATAGCTGCTCTGGCTGTAGAGATCAACTTTAGTTTATTGGCTTGCCTTTTTCTGTGCAAATCATGCATCGCTGACTTTGCAAAATATCTCTACAAAGGATTACTGTCCACACAGCCCTTGCATTCTTACTGTTTCCAACTCAGTGCTATTTATTAGACTTACTGAATGGGCCAAATGCTAAGTAAAACTCAGAAGAAAACAAACACATAAAAGTTATTGTATGGGAGCAGCTCAGTAGCATAGTGGTTAAAGTCCTTGCCTTGCACGTGCTGAGATCCCATACGGTCACCAGTTCTAATCCCAGTGGCCCTGCTTCCCATCCAGCTCCCTGCTTGTGGCCTGGGAAAGCAGTTGAGAACAGGCCAAATCCTCAGGACCCTGCACCCATGTGGGAGACCCAGAAGAGTTCCTGGTTCCTGGCTTCAGATTGGTTCAGGTTCAGCCGTTGCGCTCACTTGGAGAATGAACCAACCCACGGAAGATCTTCCTCTCTGTCTCTCCTCTCTGTATATCCGCCTTTCCAATAAAAATAAATAAATCTTTAAAAAAAAAAGTTATTGTATGTTGCCATCCCACAGCAATGGACTTGGTACACGGAACCTATAATAACACGCATGGACTACTGACTGATGGTTGTCACCTGTGCCACTGCTGCCGCATACCCTGAGCCTAGCGGAGGGACTAGGGTTACAAAAAAGACAACACACAGTGGGTCATTCTTGTAAAGAGAATGCCATTTATTCAAAGTTGGCCTGCCTCTTTTATAGTCTGCCTAGTTCCTCCCAGTATTTTCCCAATGCTCAAGCAACTCCTAAGCTCCCCTGGGGGCATCTTAAAAAAGGGGAAGCAGGGAAGAGGGAACTTGCGGTCAAGCCAGGGGCTAAATGTATCAGGCCAAGATTGCCCATCCTGTTACACCTTGAGAAACAAGCTAAGCTGTGGAGTTAACCCTTGGGAGACTGGGGCCTACAGACGGTCAATAGCCCAAGTTTATTAGCGGCATCAGACTATACACTGAGGGTCATATGGGATAAAGGAGTAAGCTTATCAACAAAACCCATCAACTGTTTCTATACTTTTGTTTGGAACTCCTTTTGTTTTGTATATTCTACCAAGTGTTCTCATTCACATGCTGTCCACTCAACTGTTCTCATACAAATGATATCCAATCAGTTATACAAAAGGTATCCATTTGGTTGTTATACAAATATTATCCCATCAATTGTAATCCTGTGCTCGCTGACCTTCCATGGTCATAATGTCCTTCTACAATTGTAGATGATTAAGTTCTCATCTTGCATTTCTTGTTGATCTGGAAGAGCCAAAAATGAAGATAATGCTACTGCATTCTCCATTTTATAAAGCAGAAAATCGAGACAGACATTATATGGTTTAGCTGAAGCCGTATGTAAAATAAGCAGAGGAAAGGGGATGGTCCTTGGAATGCTTCTTTATTACTTTGTAAAGGCTGATGGAATTTTATTTTTCGAGGGAGAGGAACAGAAGCAACCAGATACATAGAGAGCTGCCATCTGCAAGCTCACTCATCAAACGCCAACAACAGGCTGAAGCCAGGACCCAGGAACTCAATCCAGATCTCATTCGTGGGTCTTCACCATGACCTCTCAGGGTTTTTGTGTTTGTTTGTTTGTTTGTTTGGCAGGAAACTGGAGTCAGGAGTGAAGTTTGGAACTGAACCTGGGCATTTCCAAGTGGGTAGTGGTGAAGAGGCCTCCATTCAGTACCAGAGACTCCTAATTCACACTATAGTCCCCTTCCCACCCAGATGTCACTCAACAACAGAGCAACTTGAGGTTCTCAGGTTCAAGGGACACTCTGCAGGAACCTCTTCTTCAGACTTGAGAAAAGGGGAGCACTTTCCTTTGATACCCCAAGGTGACTTTATCCATCCCCCTTCTCTTTTTCATTTTGACTCTGGGTCCCAGAGGCTTTTTTTTTCCCCGTCTTAATGACTGACAAATTTGTTGCTTGCTTAATCATTCAGTATGGGGCCAAGCTTGGAATCACCGTCCTTGTGGAGCCCTCTGCCACAGGGCCAGACCAGTGACACATCTACTGTTCGACTCCAACACCCACAGCCCATGATGCTTTACTGCTTCTCTCCACAGGAGTGATGCTTAGCTGCTCTTACCCTGGTCCTCCCTTCCTAAACGACTGTCCAAGGACATCCATTCATACCTCATTCCTGGTGCTGTTGACACTTCTCTTGGCGGGTGCAGTTGGCGTCATCTGGAAACTTTACCGTGACAAAGAGCAGGAACGCTGGAACAAAGGTACACCCCTCAGAAAGCCAAGACAGTGAGGTCCAAAGACTATGGTGACAGGATTGCATGGAGGGAGAGAAGTGTGGAAACATCAGGAGGGTCTTCTTACTCAGGTTGTTAGTGTGGTCTTCTTCACTCAGACCCGTCAATCTGACCCCAAAACTTTAGCCCTGACCATAACCTTGAGATCCCAGCACTGAGATCTCTTACAGGACTCATGTGCGCAGACCTGGGAAGGGGAAGTCGCACAGAACCTTTCACTAGGTAGATTGGCTGGTCAGTTGTGGACTTCTGATAAGTTACTTATCCTTTTACAGAGAAACTCCAAGGAGAGCTCCGTAAGTTCTATGCTTCCCTCTCTACTGGGTAAGACCTGGTGACAAGCCAGCTAACTCACAAGGTTTCTTTGTTCTACTTCAGGCTGGAGAAAAGCTCAAAAACTGGATGGTAAGTAAGAACTGCTTTTAATCCAGGGCTTTACCTCCCTGATTTAGCAGATTCCATTATCTTGATTCGTGTCCTCGATGCTCTGCTCTTACACCACTTGAAGACTTACTCCAAATGTCCCCATTTCCTCAGGCCAACTTTTTCAGAGATTTTCCCCTTCAGTCTTTAGCTAACCCCTTGATTCTATAGCAGGCACCTGCTGATAGCTTCTACACAGGTAGACCAGAGAGTTGTGAGCACAGGAATCATATCTAGATCTTTGGGAGCGGAAAGCAGCATTTACTGAGGTTCTGTGCTGGCTCCTCTCCAACTAACACAAAGCAGGTCTCTTGCATGCCCCCCAGATGAAGAGACAGAGACCGTTAGAGATTAACCAACCAGCTTTGGGTTCCATGACTGATGAGTCATGGGTAACAGCTAGAGCCAGGGGAACACTGTGGGCCAGCAGGCAGTGTGTCACGGTATCCAAGACATATAAGCAGCTGCTCCAAATAAGATATAAAGAAAGTGCACTCCAGAGAGCCCCTGATGACCAGCAAGAGGTGATATGATAACCAAGAGATATAGATGTCCCCTAATGAGGCTAATGAGATAAAAAAAAAAAAAAGGCCAGATTTCTGGGCAGTTGGTCACCCTTACTGCATGTAGGACCCTGCAGCAGGTCTTGATGAGATGCAAGAGAAGATGGCTCTAACTCCTGTGTCACCACAAGCATAAGGAGACCCTGGTTACACGAAGAGGGTGCTGAACCCAGCACCAGGTCCTGATTGATGGAAGCATCCCCTGACCTGGTGGGTGCTGGAGCTTGTCAGCTTCCAAGGCATAGAGGCATCTGGCTTTGGCACTGGGGACACAAGAGAGTCCATTTCCTCTGGCCCCGATGCTTGTCACCATCTTTGAAAGGGGCACAAGGAGGGGAAGCCAGGGAACTCCCAGAGGAAAGTGAAGAAGGAACAAAGGAGGGCAGAAAGAGGCAGCACCAGCCCAAAGGATTAGGGTTTTCAGAGCTGGGGAGCACTCATGCCTCTTCTTTCTGTTGCAGACTGGAGAAAGGCCCGGTCCTATGCTGGTGAGTGGCGTCCAGAGGTCTGAGGCCAGAAGCTCCTCGGGAAGGGGCCTTAGTGGTTTTCCTCTACCATGCCACTGCAGCTGGTGGCCTGGCTGTGTTCCTGGAGTTCCCACTGAGCACCTGGGCCTTTATGCTTCCAAGCAGTGCAGATTCTTGCTCCTGCCTAGGGCCCTTCCCACCCACTTACTCTCAGGTCTTTCTGCTCCTGCATGTTTTAAGCAGCAGGAGCACTATAGGTCCTAAGTCTTCAATTTACATAAGCCAGCCTTACAGAGGTCACGGGCATCTTGGTGGCAGACCTGGTACTTCAGCTGACCAGAGCATCTGTCCCCTCAGAGCACAGGTGCCACCTCAAGGGAAGATCGCCATGGGGAACCCTTGAAGGCATCGATGCATTAAGTCTTTTAGATTGCCTTCTCAAACAGCCAACATTGCAAGCAGCCTTCATCATGTACAAGGCACAGTCTGAGTGCTGTGCCTCTATTACCCCTTCAGGAACTCCAGCAACAGCTTCAGAACTAGGTACCACTATGATCTCCACTTAATCTGCAAAGATGGGCAAAAATCATGCTGTGAGAAAACAAAACAAAACAAAAAACACCTGGCGTCAAGTCGCATACCTAGGAAGAGATGATGCTGAGATATAAATTTAAGGAGTTTGTCCCAAACAGTCTATTTTTTAATCTGTTTGTTTTTAAAGATCTACTTATTTACTTGAAAAACAAAAGTCCAGTGCAGAAGGGTGCCCATGGATCTGCCTGGAAGAGGTTAGACTTTCCCTGGGGACCCAGAGAGGCTGAGAAATGTCACACAGCTGTGTTTCCAGCTTGAGAGGGAGCCAAGCTGGGGAGAACAGTTCAGTCTCTCTCACGTGAGTCCACTGAGCCTCTCAGCACCTGTATCAGGCTCAGAAATGATGTGGGCCTGCCTCCTTGAGTCTACTCTGGTAGGGGGGAGAGAAACAGCAAGCTGACAGTGCAGTGACACAGGAGTGCCTGATGGAGATGCTAAGGGAAGCCAGAAGACAGGTGGAGGAGAGAATCTGCAGTGGCTCATCTGCCAGCTCCGGGCATTGGACCTCCCAATCCCAGCACCCTGGAGTGTCTGCTTCTCATGAAAGTGCCAACTCTTTCCAGTGGCTGTCTGAGACTTGTCCTGGGGAAAGGCTGTCATTCCAGTTTTGTGAGCAAGGACAGAGCAGCTTCTTTCCCCCTTTTCCTGGTCCTTGTGGGTTCTGAGATGTCAGGCCTGACCTGGGATGAGCTCTTCTCTCTCCCTTCTTTCTCAGCTAAGGTGACTCTGGATCTGGACACAGCCTTTGCAGAACTCTTTCTGTCTGAAGATCGCCGAAGGGTGCAGCGCAGAAATTTGGGGCAGGAGCTCCCACAGAAGCCCGGGAGGTTTTTGTGTGAGCCCTGTGTGCTGGGCTACGAGGCCTTCTCTTCGGGGAGGCATTACTGGGAGGTAGAAGTGGGGGACAGGATTTTCTGGGAGCTTGGGGTGTGTGAAGATAATGTGGAAAGGATATGGGGCATCAGAGAGTCACCCCAACAAGGTGTCTGGGCCTTAGAATTCTGTGACACTAAGTATCATGCTCTCACCTCCCCACGGACACCCCTGCCCCTCAGTGAGCCCCTTAGTCGGTTGGGGATCTTCTTGAACTACGACGCAGGGGATGTCTCCTTCTACAACGCAACTGATGGGTCCCACCTCTACTCCTTCCCTCCAACCTCCTTCTCGAGGCCCCTCTTCCCTTTCTTCTGCCTGTGGTTTTATGATCCAACTCCTCTGACCATCTGCCACTGAGGCTGCAGGTACAGAAAGTTTCAGCTGCCCCTGCAGAAAGACCTGTTCCTGGGGTGGAACAATGACCTTGTGGACCAGAGCCCTTGGGCTTCCCTTCCTGGCTTCCATGAAGGTTGAGCCCTTGCGACTTTGCTTTCGGAGCTGCAGCCCTTTTTGTGCCAGTTCAAGAGGCTTGGTGAAGGCTAGGGTTCATGTGAGGAACTCCCTGGCCAACCAATAGAGCCGCAGAAGAACAGCACAACACCCCAGGCTCACATCAGGAAGGTCTGCTGGATGGAGCTGAAAAACTGAGAGGAACCTCAAAGGGAAACAAAGACAGAAATACTGATGGGAAGATTGGAGGGCTGGAGAAGGCTGTCTGACTTTTCATCTCTTCACATCATCAAGAAGAAAAGCAAAGCAATGCTCACCACAATTGTCTGCAATGTCTGTGTGATTGAACAGCAGCAGGAGGCTGCATCTGGGTGGGGCTTTGGCATTTCAGTCTGTTTTTACCCACCTGCACCCCAGGAGCTGTTTAAGTGCATGAAGAGTCCCTTCACCAGGGGAGCACACTCATCTGGGACTCAGCTGTCAAGCTATGTTCCATCATCTGATGCCAGATAATACCGTCTCTAAGAATCTATTACATGTGCTACCAAACAATTTCAATACAGTTTGCATTATTTTCATCCAATTTGTAGGTTTGTTTATTCTTCTTTTTTCAGTTCTTGCTGAAAATGTTTCACTTCAGCAGTTAAGGGAGTTCGGAGTAGCATTTAAGGTGCCACTTGGGGGCTTGGCAGGATAGCTCATTGGCTAAATCCTCACCTTCCAACTGCCAGGATTCCATATGGGTACCAATTCTTGTCCATTTCCCATTCTTCCATACCTGCAAGGTGAAAATATCTCTAATCCTGAGCATTAATGGAATCAGAATTACTTTACTACTTGATAATTACTACTTGAGAATTTACTACTGCTCCATTTTCCATCAAGCTCCTGTGATGACAGCATCTTTTAAATCTAACTAATGCTATCAAAATAATATTAATCTTTGAACTTTCCCAAAAATTTGTTTTACAATCCACTCTGAATATCCACTCTGAATCCACACTTCCTATACTAAAATATTTGTATGGCTATACCCAAAAAATAAACAAACATGACCTGACATATGTTAGTTAAAGGCTAAAATTACCCTAGAGGTCAAAATTATAAAGTATCCAAATAATATAGCATTAATTTAATACAATTATGACTGCAATAGTCACTTTGTCATTTATAATGATTGCTTGAGTATTGTGCATCAACAAGCAACGATCTGCAATAAATCTGAGAGACAGGTGCTGAATGAAAGCACAAAAATTAAGTTTCAGGAAAATGTCACCAACCAGCACAACAAAGAAGGAAGTAGAGATGGATGCTTAAAGACTGAGACAAAGGATTTGTCTCAGCAATTTCATCGTGCTTGGAATTGCGAGACTGGCAGCAGTTCAAAACTGTTGAATTATCAAAATCACTTGAGCAGGACCCTCAGAGCATGCCCCACATCAGGAACCTGGGATGGGTGAGAGGCTGGGTGGGGCTTCTTCCTTTATTTCCCCATTGGCCCCAGATGTAGAAAAAAAAAAGCAATAATGTGGAAACAATAGTCTTACCCACTTTCCTGTAGCCCTTGACCCTTTGTGCTCTATCAACTATGTAAAGATGTAAAGATTGTCAAAAAGAAAAAAGAAAAAAAAAAAAAAGACTGAGACAAAGGAATAGTTCAATGAAGCAGAGACCAGGAAATCCCAGTCTTTGCTATGCCAAGAGCCTCAAGTAGCCCAAGCATCGTCCATTTATTGATCAGCAGCAAATTTAGGTCACACAACTTAGGTCAATGGTTATTCACATTCTATATGAAGAAACTTGAAACACATAGGAAATTAGTTAAGAACAATCTGAAATGTACATGATGATTGGCAGTTTTGTTTTCTACACCATATATACATTCATCCAAGACAGCAGATACCAGACAGTTTAGCTCCCATGTCAAGACCCTCCTGATTCATTAACCTGTGACCTCCTATATCAAGAGTTCCCATACATACAAACCACAGATCTTTGTGTGTGTGTCCACAACATGATTGCGAGAGTCCAATGGAGCATGGTGTTCTTACATTCATTAATGGCTTCACTGGGCAACTCCTGATAAGCAGAGACAAGTACGGACAGTGATCACCTTCAAGAGAGATTCAGAACTGCCTCAGCCCAACAGTGGCTTGATTTAAAAAGACCCCTAGGGCTCAGCACAAAGGCTCCATGGCTAAGTCTTTGCCTTGCAAGCGCTGGGGTCCGATATGGACTCCAGTTTGTGTTCCTGCTTCTCATCCAGCTCCCTGCTTATAGCCTGGGAAAGCAGTAGAGGAGGGCCCAAAGTCTTGAGACCCTGCACCTGCATGGGAGACTCAGAAGAAACTCTTGCCGCCTAGCTTTGGATTGGCTCAGCTCTGGCCATTGCAGCCATTTAAGGAAATCAGCCGATGAAAGATCTTTCTTTTTTTTTTATTGTTGCTTACATTGTATTATGTAGTACAGCTCCATAGGCGCTGGGGATTCCCCCCACCCCTCCCGATCTTTCTATCTGTCTTTCCTTCTCTCTGTAATCTACTTTTCTGATAAAAAATAAATAAACTTTTGGAAACAGGGCCCTTGACCTTGATATGCCTGACAAGCCTACCGTGAAGCATGGTGTGCCTTCACCTAGGGATATTTCTTCTGGGAAACCTCCAAAAAGAAACAATGCAGTAGTTCAGTGCTTAACTCTGGGTCAGACTCCGGGCAGCTTTGGCCTAGGGGGAGCTTAATGCAAAAAACTTTGACACATGAGCGCTGGGCTGTCATAGAGCTGTTCATAGAAGCTGTTGCCACAGACCAGGGTCTCATCTACATCTTTGCCCTGCCAGCTCCCACCTGTGCATCACCTTTGGGAGCAGTTTTAATTACATAATTCAGACTACCTCTGGGAAAGGAATATGTTCATCACTAGTCATTGGTGGATGTTAAATCCATATTCCTTTTAACTGGTAAATGCTAAACAAAAACCAATATTCATTGTCATTTGTGTCACAGCTCACCATTTATCCCCATCATGGCATGTGTCAAGTTCTATTTGTTGAATGAATAATCCTCACATTGCTTCTCGGCCTTTTGACCAAGATCAAGTGTAGTATGGATAATCCTCACTCTTAATCTGTGCTTTTCCTGCACTTTAAATCAATCTACCACAGCAGAAGGGTCCACGTACCCACTCTACTCCCCATTTTCACAATTCATTACATTGTGACATTTACACAATATTCTTATGGGTTAATTTTCTATAATTCCATAATGAATGAACACAAATGAAGAGGCTTAAAACAACACAGGGCAGACACCATTGCACAGTGAGTTGAACTATTGCCCACAATGCCCACATCACATTTCAGAGTGTCAGTTTGAGTCCAGAACAACTACCTGTTAATGTGCCTGGAAGACAGTGTACAACAATTCAAGTACTTGGGCCCCAGCGACCCATGAGGGAGACCTAGATGGATTTCCTCATCAGGGAGGTGACACATAGAAATATACTTTTGTTGCTTTAAAGGTTAGGGTTTATTGCAATTCAGAAAGAATCAGCTGTGGGGAGCCGGGCAGTTGGGTCAGATGGCATGGGTGTGTGATGAGCACTGCTCCTTGGTTAGCAAGGCTACGAGGAGTTTCTGGCTGCGAGGCAAGGCCCGGCAGAATGTCTCTGGTCACCTCATTGCTGCCTCACCCCATTGTATGGACACTCGATCACCTCTCTGATGTTTCATAGAATTCTCCTGAGGGTGTTGTTGTTTTTCTGCTAATGTGAAGTGGTCCCTGTAACTGGTATGACACCTCAAATTGATCAATCATGTTATGATAAAAACATCTTTAGTGATGTAAGGCTATGACACACAGTTAAAATATACAATAGTACAATTGAGCCCACAATATCTCCAAACATCCTGTTATGTGCCCACTTTTGTCCTGAAGTTTGCCCTAGTATGAGTAAGGTTTTCCTTAAGAAATGTCTTAATAATATCTTGGAATAGATGGCAATCATGGAGATACAAAGAGTTTGTTTACCATGCACCTCAAACTGTTACAACACATGATATGACACATTTTAGTTTTTTACCACAGAAAGCAAAAGTATATGGGGCATCTTTTATAAGGAAATAGAAGTGAACCCCCTCAAAATGGCTTAAAATCTTTATCTTATATTGGCACCTATATTTAGGGAAAGAAAGCAAGTTTCTTGTAAAAGCCCTCTGTTTGTAGATCAGCTGAATTGCCTTGATCCCTTTCACTGCCCTTTAGCAAAGAACAAAAAACAATTGAATCAGCACTAGGTGAAGGTGACGGTAATTAATGCATGATTTGATTATAAGATTTAGCAAAGAATCTATGTTATATGCTTTTATAAAATCCTTTCATTTATGATCTTTTAATTCTGTACTCTTAATATTTTAAGCAATATTAATAAGTTTGTGCTTAGTAAAAATTGATTTTGATTATAAATAAACTACTTGTCACTATGTAACTGCATGCGCTGCCAACCATGGAGTTCCTGCATCAGCCAGGTGACTGCAGGTTTCAATAAGAAATGATTGTTGAAAATATTTTCCTTAGGATTGTTTTTTGTATTCTCTTAACCATGAAGTAAAAATGAAACAATTGGATATTGTGCAAAAGCTTGTGATGATTTGTGTATAAATAAAGAAGGCAACTTTTCTGAGTTGTCCATTATGAGCATCATGCCATAGTGGTCCACATCTTATCTCTTCTTCCTATTGTCTCGCCGATCCATGCATCCTTTGCAAGCTCTCAGTCAGCCGGAGCTGGACTCCAGCAACCAGCAACATGTGTGGTCCTTGTTCTTCCAGGATTGGTACATTCACAGGGCCTGTGGAAAACTGTTGACATGTCCTCTTTCTGCATTTATCTTTCCCAAGACAGAACATGGTTGGGTCAGCTTATTACTATTTAAACCATCCTACTTCCACAGCACCTGGTTTTCTACCTCATCATTTCCTGCTCAGAAGACACGTGCTCCCCTCTGGATCAGGTCAGCTGTGGCAGGGCCCAAGCCTGGCTTCCCTGGATGCTTCCAGGTCTTGGAAGCCCTGAGACTTCTTTCTGTCGCCTTTGGGCCCTTCTTCTGTTCGTTCTCAAGAGCACCACTGGCCTGGGCAGAATGATCCAACACCTATTACACTTTCCTTATCATTAGTCGCTCAAAGTAACTATAAATCAGACTCATCATATAAAGGGTATGGTGGTTGGATGAAAAAAAAGAAAAAAAAAGTTATGAGCCTTTTTCCCAACAGGAAAACCAGTACTCTGGTTTTTATTCTTACATTTCTTTCTCTTTCTGCAAAGCAAAGAAGGAAACTTCCATGATAATTAATTCCAGGTGCTCCCTTTGACCCTCATCCTTATCTAAGAATGCCCAATCTAGGGTGGCTTTGATCCCACAGCCTTCTTTGTCTTGGGTTCTGACATGATGAGTTCAGGAGCCGAGTCATGTTGCTGGATGAATGGCCTGAGCCTGCTCACTTAGGTAGAGAACAACTGAGTGCGGAGCTTAGGGCTGGGCCCTCTGAGGACAGAAGCCACACAGTGCTGCTGTCACTGCTGAGGAAGACACTCCAGGCACCAGAAAGATCCTGTTGCTAGTTAGCAGAACAGGAAGGAACACAGAAGCAGCCCCAGCCTTGGGAGTCAGACGAATCTGAAAACAACTTCTGTAGGCTGGAGCATCCAGAGTTGGCCTTGGGGTAGGTAGACATGAAGGCTGGGCAGGATTTCCAAAGGAAGGAAGGAAGGCAATGGTGTGGGAAAGGGAGTGCTGGCTCTTGGGGTTGTGGGAGCAGCACAAAGCAGCTGCAGAGCCATTGGAAAGCTCTGAACAGATCCAGAAGATTATTAGAGGCCTCCTCCAAGAAGGCACCTTGGGAACTACTGAGAACTGTATTTCCGGAAAGTTGTTTGGGAAGAAATTTGTGCAATAATAGGGTTGAGGTCTGTGGGGAGCCTTTTGGGGGAAGAAGTGTGTTTGGGGAGGGGGAATTGAACATAACCAGACCATGTACTGAAATCCAGCTAGAAAGTATTCACTGCTGTGTGCCTGTGCCCACCACAACACCACCTCCCTGTGGAGCAGTGTCTCTGAGTCGGCCTCCTTGGTAGCTCTTCCCCTGGGATTTTTGAATGAATGATAAGGTCTTTCAGGTATTCATAATGGCTTTGCTAGCGCTGGCTCCCTTCCATAGCCACCAGACCCCACATCTTCAAATCTAGCAACTTGAGCAAAGAGATCTCTGAGTTAGGAAGGCGGTGCTGTGCCTAATCCCCACCTGATCTCCTACCTAAAAACACATCTCTTGGGAATCCCAAGGTTTTGAAAATTTAAAAAGAAAAAAATGAATGAAAAAAGAAGAGAAAAAAATCTTGCTTCTGAGCAAAGAAAAAAAGAACTTCAGCCGTTCAAGATTGCATTTCACTGCTTAATGGTTGTTATCCCTAGTATTCTACCTGGTAACTGATGACAGAGCAGGTTCAGGCACGGCATTGGCTGGCAGATCACAGGCTAAACTGCGAGCCATTCCATGGTGATCTTGGGACTTCAGGAACTTTGAGGGATCCAGTCAGCAGTCCCGGCCTGCAGCTCTGGACTCCTCTTTTGGGACAGTTTGCTTTCTATCCGTGACTGCACCAGAAGACCTTCTAAGGATCTGCCTTTGTGGGTCAGAAGAGAAAAGAAGGTTCAGAGGTGTATTTTACAAGGTAGAAAGGGAGGTGATGCATTTTATTCCCAAAAGACAAGGACAGCAGGTGGGGGACTGAACCTGCCCCAAAGGAAAATTGGGCTCCCAGGGGGTGGAGTCCACCTGTGGGAAGTGTGCCCTTTCAGTCCCTTTACCTGGATTACCTAGCCTGACCCACAGGGAGGAAGGGGGTGGAAGGAAAAATATCAAGTGACCGTGAAGAAACCAGACTCTCAGTAGAAAACTGCCACCTCTCTGTGCTGTTGCCGTCTTCCACAGGAGGCTTAACATATCCACTCACGAAAACATATCTGCCCCGCGGAACCACAGAAGCTGCTGCCCAGATGGAAGCTGAGGCACTGATGAGACCAACGGGGTGACAGGAAAGTCTGACCTAGGTGACAACTGTGGCGCCACGTCTCTTCAATGGTTTCTTCTCTGTGCCTCTAAGCCTAGGGTCCCTCAGTGCCCTGGGTGACTTGTCCTGAGCACTTATGGAGCCAGCCACTTCCCTGTCAGCCTCCCTTTTCTTCTCCATTCTCAGCCTGCTGGCCCTCGTGTCAGGTAAGGTCATGTTCCACTTGCTCCCATCAGCTCCTCAGAAAGTAGCTTTGACTCTTTGGTTGGGACCTCTGCATGCTAAACATGCTTGCTAGTTTTCATCCTCGCTCTGAGTGCACCCCTGGTTCGCACCCTTACACTGAATGTGGCTGCTGATTCATTCCAGCACTGCTCAACAACAAAGCAGGGAGAGCAATGTGAGGGTCTGCTGCACACACAGTTGCAGATTTCTAAGGAGCAACTTTTTAAAAAGTAACAAGAAACAAACAAAATGAAATTTAGTAATATTTATCCCAAATAACCAAATAATCTTTAAACACTTATTACTTGCAAGATGTTACTAATGAAATATTTAACATTTATTATTCTAAATGTTCCAGAGTTTGTATATGTTTTGCAGTTACTGCTCATTTCCAATGGAGCTAACTAGTAAATACCCTATTAGATAGCTCCCGTTTGAGTGGGGGTTACGTTCTGGTCTGGATATGGCTGCAATATCCCTTGGCACAAGTGGGAACTGGAGCTGGGAGTACCGAGCCAGACTAGACGCCAGAACAGTCTGGTGTTCTGGAGAACCTGGGAGATGTAGGACAGACTGGGGTGGGTCTCTGTCCCTATTGAGCCATGTGTGAGCAGTGTCTGGGTATGGACAAGCCTTGGCTGGGCTGAAACATCCAACACCAAGAACTGGAATGGAAGGAAGGCCAGCAATAAGGGCTGGTCCATGGGACCACCTGTATGCGCAAGATCTGGGATAGGGAGAGGTTCTAGAGGAGGAGCCTGGGAGGCTCCTCTGTCAGGACACAGTCCCTGCAGGTGAGTGCAAGAACCACGAGAGGGAGCAACCCAGACCAGGTCAGAGGAAGATACCCACCTGCATACATATGGCATAGGTGGGGGCAGACCAGGCTGAACTCGTTCACATCACTCGCTTGTGAATCCGAGCACCAGAATAGAGTGTGGGTCAGGCCAGGTTTGGTCGCGACAAAAACCAGTGCACATTATGGAATGCCAAGGTGCAGTGAGCCATACCAGATGTGGTTGCAGCACCCAAACAGTACACGTGAGAACCGGGGTTGGGGAAGAGGCAAAGCCAGCAGGGGGAATATGGGCTACCCTGCTGGACTTTCCACTGGAGAACCTGAGTTGGGATGGGGCAGACTGGACTAGGAAGGGCTACAACACCTGTGGGCCTCATGTGAGCTAGATCAGCGAAGGGCCCGGTTGGGCTGACTGTGCTAACTGGTGCAAGCAAAAATTAGAGTGGGTGAGGGTTGGTTGGGCTTTGCTGCAGCATCAGCTGGCAGAGGCTGGCACTGGGAACTAAATCTGTCAAGTTAAACTCCAGAACCACCTAGAGAGTGCATAATCTGGGAGTGGGAGTGGCCTAGGAGGGAAATAGTGGGCACCTCCCTCTTGGGTTACCACTCCCACTGGAGAGTATGAAAACCAGGACAGGGGCAGGGGTGGCTAGACAGAAAGGCACCTGCCAGTATGTGTGAGGGATGGATAGTAGGGTTGGTTGGGCTGAACTAGGCTTCAATGCCCATTGACATGTGTGAGAGCTAAATGGGATATGGGACAGACTGAACAAGTCTGTGGTATATACTGGCATGCATGGGAACCATGGTACAAGCAGGCCATGGGGAGTCGCCACAACAAGGCTGTAGCTCCCACTGGTTTGTATGAAGGCCGAGTATGAAGTGGACAGGATCAGGCTGGACTACAACTGACCCATCGGTTCACGTGGAAGACAGGGCTGAAAACAGAACTGACCCAGAAATTGCAATGACCAGCATGTGCATAAGCTGATTCGGCTGATGCACTGTGTCAGACCCTGTACTAGCAGGCACACACAAGAATCAGGATCACCTCAGATGAAGTTTCTGTAGAGATCCCTCCAACTGAACTGATCTCATGCTCCGGCCAGCAGAGCCAGTAACGTGGACACAGAGAGAGTCTGGGGATGAAGCACCAACAGGAGACCAGTCTCTCCAAAGCCTCCCTTTATTACCCCTTTTATATCTTTCACCAAACCCTTTAGCCAAACAATAGGATGCCAATGAGTCCCATTAGTCCAGGTGCTTTTAGCTGCAAGCCCATTTCTTATAACTGCTCAGCTTAACAAGTGCTAATTAACTCCTTAGCCCACAACAATCTTGGAACTCCAACCATGAAGAGACTATGTCAGCCAGTGGATTCTGAATAGATTTCATCACGATTGGAACGGCGAGATTGGCAGCAATTCAGAACTATTGAACTATCAAAACTGCTTGAGCAGGACCCTCGGAGTGTGCCTCACATCGGGGACCTGGGATGGGAGGGAGTTGGGTGGGGCTTTTCCCTTTGTTTCTCCCCTGACCCCAGATACAGGGGAAACAAAATGATAATATTAGTGTGAAAACAATGGTATTATCCACTTTCCTGTAGCCTTTGACCCTTTGTACCCAAATCAACTAAGTAACATTATTTAAAACAAAAACAAAAAACGATAGTTCCAATTTATCCCACATGCAACTGCTAATGTAGATTGGGAATAGTGAGGAAAGCCCTTCTGGATACAGAGTATAAAGAATGCTCAGGGTGATTCCCCAAAGTTTCCTTTCCAAAGCATTAGTGGCCTCAATAGATGGCATTCCCAACAGTGCTGCCCACCAGCCATAGCCCTCAGCCCCCAGAGTTCTCAGTCCTGTGGCCTTAGAATCTCATGTTCTCTGGAAAACTACTTGCTTTCCCACTCTAGCTATTTGACAGTTGGAGTCTCTGTCTGATCATGCCTTTTTACTTGACAGCCCAGTTTACTGTCGTGGGGCCAACGGATCCAATCCTGGCCATGGTAGGAGAAAATACCACGTTAAGCTGTCACCTGTCTCCTGAGAAAAGTGCGGAGCACATGGAAGTGCGGTGGATCCGGACTCAGTTCTCCCCTGCAGTGTTCGTATATAAGGGTGGACAACAGAGGCCAGAGGAGCAGATGGAAGAATACCGAGAAAGAACCAGCCTTGTGAACGACAACATTGGCAAAGGCCATGTGGCACTGGTCATCTACAACATCACTGCCCATGAGGATGGCACCTATCGCTGCTACTTCCAAGAAGGCAGGTCCTACGACGAGGCAAGCTTGCGCCTCATGGTGGCAGGTGTGTCTCCCTCTTCATTTTGTTTCGTTGCCTCTTCACAATGCAACTTTGGGGTACAGTTGTTCTCCTAACCCCAGGTCACCTCAGATCAGCAGATCTTTGCCTGGGATTCCCCTGAAACAAGGAGAGGGCTTCCTGTTATCCAGGGATTTACCCTGTTATGCGGTGTTAGCAGGAATGTTCCATTCCTGCAGATTGTTTTTAGGTCTCCTTGATCATTGCAACCAAGCACTTTGAAGGTAAGGGGAGCTGTCTCAAAACATGATTATACACAAAGGCAGAGTATATACTACCTCTAGTGATCCTCCCAAAAAAAAGGCTTCAGCCTGGAGACATGGGACGAGGCTTCAGAATAGAAGTGATATTTTAAACTGATATTTCTACATATGTATTAATAATGGTTTTAAGGGACTGGTGGCTTGTCATAGTAGGTTAAGGTGCTACCTATGATACTAGCATCCCATATAAACACTGGTTGAAGACCCAGCTGCTCTGCTTTCAATGTAGCTCCCAGCTAATGTGCATGGGGAAACAGTGGCAGAACCTGGGCCCTGGGGTGCAGTTCTAAGATCCTGGATTCTGCCTAGCCTTCATCCTGGCCCAGCCCCAGCTGTTGTGTCACTGGGGGAGCGGGTAGGTAGATCAACAGATGGAAGATCTCTCTCTCTCTCTGAAATTCTGTAATCAAAGTCTTTAATACATAATCATAATAATCACTTGAAGGAATGCTCTCACTCCTAGGGGTAAGTGTACTATGTTTTTAGAGGAAGGATTTGAAGAATACAAGGACCTGCAAAAGTGCAATGGCACTTCAGTCCCTCAGCACAGTGGAAGTGAGTTTAGGGAGAATGTGAGTTCCCAAGGGGTTTCAGATTATGAAGGGTAAGACACTCCATCTTTTGCTCCTGACAGAATCTTATGGCTGATGAGATCAAATGCCAGGGGAAGAGGGCTTCCTGCCTTTGTTTCCTGGGAACTCTGCATGTTGACCCTTTGTGGTGTGTGTGTGACAGGAGCTCTTTGTTCTCCGCTGTCAGTAGTACCCAGGCCTGGCCTGCCTTACTCTGAATTCCTTGTTGGAGAATTATTGGTTTGTTTGTTCGTTCTGTGGGTGGGTGACTGATTTTCGTCCTGAAGTCCATAGTCTCATGTTTGGCTTGACTGAGCCTGTGGAATGTGTGGCAGAACTTTTTTCCCTGCAAGTTTACAAAATTATTTTCATCCTAATTGTACTTTAAGATTTCTATAGGAATCTTAAAATGTAAAACTAGATATCTCATTCTCTCTCTGGGCAAAACTCAAATTAACCAGAAAGTGTCAGACCTAAGTGAGTGTTTTAATTTGCAGTCATTAGCACAGTCTGTTGAGTACACTTGACAAAGCCTCAACTGCTCCAAAGAGGTTTGAATGATCACATGTGTCCAAAGAGTCTCCCAGGACCAGGCATATACAACTCCTTCATGTCTATATTTTTTTATAAGGTTTATTTGTTTTTATTGGAAAGGCAGATTTACAGATGGAAGGACATGAACCAGAGTTCATATGAAATGCTAGTGCCTATAGGTAGGGGATTAGCTAATTGAGCCATTGCACCAGCCCCCAGTAAACACCCTTTTAAGGATCAAATATAAGAAGAGTCTGGTTTCTTAGGATAATTGGTGATGTTCTTCAGAGACACATTGTTACTGAGCACACCCAGTTCTTTCTAGTACAATAATATTCTCAGAAGTTATAACTAACTGATCATCTGACTGAGCTTCTTCCTGAGAGATAAACATCTGTGGATTGGGGGATGTACTGGCTAGTCCTCTGCCTACTAGTGTTGGTTCATGCCTCAATGCTTCACTTCCGATCCAACTCTCTGGTTGTGACCTGAGGGAACAGCAGAGAATAGCTCAAACCCTTGGGCCCCTACACCCACGTGGGAGACCTGAAGGAAGCTTCTGACTCCCAGCTTTGGATCAGCTTAGCTCTGGCCATTGTGGGCATTTGGGGATTGAACCAGCAGATAGATCTCTCTTAGTCTCTCCCTCACTCTCAGTGAGATCTGCCTTTAAATTAAAAATAAATAAATAAATAATTTTTTAAAAATCTGTGGAACAGGATAATGGTTGACTTTGCCAGCTGACTTTTGTCCAATAAATTATTAGTTCTTTTCAGGTTATGGGGTGGATATTGTGATGTAAAGCCCTGAACGAGACAAAAATGATTGTGTCTTGAGATCAAAATATATCTTTCTATTCTAGCAATTGGCTGTCATGCATGCCACCATGCACTCTTTTTTGGAGGGGAGGAGGAGGTGAGGTTGCCCACATTTCAGGTGGAGCCATTGCTCACTATGACAACAAGGCCCCACCTTATTTGCTTCTTTTTTTTTTTTAACATCTATTTATTTTTATTGGAAAGTCAGATACAGAGAGGAGGAGGGACAGAGAGGAAGATCTTCCATCCTCTGTTTCACTTCCCAAGTGACCATAATGGCTGGAGCTGAGCCAATCTGAAGCCAGGAGTCAGGAACTTCTTCTAGGTCTCTCACATGGGTGCAGGGTCCCAAAGCTCTGAGCCGTCTTTGACTGCTTTCCCGGGCCACAAGCAGGGAGCTGGATGGGAAGTGGGATCACTGGGATTAGAGCTGGAGCCCACATGGGATCCCAGCGTGTGCAAGGCGAGGACGTTAGCCACGAAGATTATTTAGCTGGGTCCTGTCCATGTACTCTTGAACTTTAAGATATTGGGGTCTGGGACCCAGTGGCCTAGCGGCTAAAGTCTTCACCTTGAACGTGCCGGGATCTCATATGGGTGCTGGTTCTAATCCCAGCAGCTCCACTTCACATCCAGCTCCCTGCTTGTGGCCTGGGAAAGGAGTCAAGGATGGCCCAAAGCCTTGGGACCCTGCACCTGTGTGGGATACCCGGAAGAAGTTCCTGGATCCTGGCTTCAGATCAGCATAGCTTTGGCTGTTGCACTCACTTGGGGAGTGAATCATCGGACGGAAGATCTTCCTCTCTGTCTCTCCTCCTCTCTGTATATGACTTTCCAATAAATAAAATAAATCTTAAAAAAAAAAAAAAGAAATTGGGGTCTGCCTCGAAGTCATCCCCAAAATTGACAGTGAAATCTTAAGCTGTGTGTCTCTGGTTTAGACTGGAAACACCACACTGAAAATGAGCAAAACAATGTCCTTGGCAGAATAAATGGAAACAAAGAATTTGCAGTCAACACATGCAGAGAACCTCTTGGTAGAGCACACAGAAAGTGTGCAATGTGATGCTTTCTTCTTAGTTTACTTGGCGACTTGGTCTCTTGGTCTATATCAAGATCAAGTTTCTTTCTCCTTTCCTTTCATCCTTCCTATTTGGTCCTGGCCATCTCCTCTTCCCCTTTCCCTCATTCCTTGCATCCTTTGCAGAAGGGAGGCTGTGGGAAGATGTGGGACATGAGGTTTCATATGCCTGCATGTTGGCCACTTACTCTCTCCATTCCCTGGGATCTCTCCCCTCCCTTTATCCCCACCCCACCCCATCCCACACCCTCACAACAGCAGCTGGTCTAAGAATCTTTGGCTGAGACCCCACTGCCTTCGGTGTGAGCCCTGTTTTTTCTCCCCAGGCCTGGGCTCTCAGCCCAGCATCGAAATGAAGGGCCATGAGGATGGAGGCGTCTTGCTAGAGTGCACATCCGAAGGGTGGTTCCCAGAGCCCCATGCACTGTGGAGAGGCCCTTACGGTGAGGTCCTGCCCGCCCTGACTGACTCGTACACTGTAGAGGCAGACGGCCTCTTCACAGTGACCACTGCTGTGTTGGTCAAAGACAGCTCTGTGAGGAACATGACCTGCTCCATTAACAACACCCTGTTGGGCCAGGAGAAGGAAACTGTGATTTTCATTCCAGGTGAGTTCTTTGCCCCCTGAAACTAAGCACAGAGACAGTGTCGTAAGTGAACAGATCAGAGCCTAGGCTGGGCATGCTTTATGTGGATTGTGGGGTCACGTGGACAGGAGTGCAGGTGAAAGGGGTGACAGAGACAGGAGTCGGGGAGTTGGGAGGGACCTGGGCCCTGAGTAATCTGAGGGCCTTTCTCCTTGTCACAAGGAGAAAATCAAATTGTCTGGAAGCTCATGAATGGAAGCTACTTCTCTAAGAACAAATATGATCATTTATTTCCCTTGTGCTGCAACTGTTTTAACATTTTTATTTATTCATTTACTTTATTTGGAAGGCAGAGAGACAGAGATAGTGCAGACATGCAAAAAAAAATACATTCCCTCTACTGGTTTACTCTCCAAATGCCTGTAACAGTTTGAGCTAGGCCAGGCTGAAGCCAGGAATCTGGAACTCAAGCCAGGTCTTCCATGCAGTGGCAGCAGTATAAATCCTTGAGCCATTACTTGCTGCCAACCAAGGTGAACTCAGACAGGGAGCTGGAATTGGGAGTAGGGCTGAGACTCAAACCCAGGCACTCTGAAATGACTACAGTATCCCTAGCAACATCTTAATGACTGTGTTAAAGGCCAACCACTGAAGCCATTCTTAAGCAGTAAAGAACAAAATCTAGGGCATGGAGAATGGTGGGGGTGGGTGGCAATCTATGGCTGGTGATGCTGTCTGCCTGTGGGATTTCCTGAGACAGACCCAAGGAAATTCTCTATCTACAGACATCTGTAAATTCCTTCATCAACTAACCCAATAAGCAGCTCCTATGTTCAAGACACTATTTCAATAACAACATAAATCACTGAACAAAATCTATTAAAACCCATGGCCTCATGGAATGCACATTCTAAGGGACAGAAAGCAAAGAAATCATCAAATCAAATAAATAAATAATTGAATTGTTATGTAAGTTATATTGTTATATGAATGCTATTGGGAAAATTAAGCAAGGTTGAGATGGGACATGTCTGGTGTGCAGAGAATTGTGGTTATTAACAGGATAGCCAGGGAAAATTGCCTTGGAAAGATAGAAATTGAGCCATCCAGCCAGTCAGCCATGCAGATAACTGAGCAACCCAGGAATCAGGAACAGGGATATACCAAGGGCCTGAGATCAGGGTGTACTCAGCAGCTTTGAGGAACCCCAAGGGGTGCTGCTGGTGCTGGATTGCAGAGTGCCATGGGCAAAGACGAACTCACAGAAGCAATGGGATCACATTGCATGCAGTAACCCAAGCCCCAAATACACTTGGGCTGTCAGTCTGAGTAAGCTAGGAAACAGTGGAGAGTCTGGGGAACATAATTCACGTGATCTTACCCAAGCACCCTGTAGGGAATAGGCTGCAGAGTGAGCAGGAAAGCATCACAACATGGAACCCAAGGGAAGTGGCTAAGACCAGTCAGGGTGGTTGATTAGCTCTTCCTGCCTTGATCATTGCCATGGTGATTCCTAGTGTCATTGCTTTTCTGTCTGCTGACCCATCCCTCCTCTCTAGCAGTCATAGAGAGGAGGAGAACTCTTTCCCACGTGGGACTTCGTGGGGAAGATAATAAGAGAACAAGAACTTGGGAAGATCTGCCAGTGGGCTTCTAACAGGTACTCTCAGCCTAGCCACCTGTGTCCCACCAAATGGACTTTTCTGACTCCCATTTCAGAGTCCTTTACGCCAGGCATATCTCCTTGGCTGGGGACCCTGGCTGTCATCCTTCCTGTCCTCACCCTGCTCGTGGCTGGGAGCATCTGTCTTGTCAGGAAGCTCCACAGGGAAAAGGAGATTCTCTCAGTGGAAAAGGAGATTGAACATGAAGAGAAAGAAATTGCAAGTAAGGGTCTGGGAAAATTGTGTGTGGAAAGAAATAGCACGGCAGAGGAGCGGTGGAAAGCAGAGCAATTCACTGCCCTCCCAAGCACATGGGTCCAACAGGCAGAAGCCAGGACTGAGAAAGGGAAATACACAGACAGCAGCCAGGGATTGGAGCTCCCCTGTCTTAACCATTAGTCACTTAGAGTTTGGTCTTCTATAAACAGTGAACTCATTCCCCCGGCTAAACCCAGTACCTGACTATCAAACAAAACTAGGCCTACAGAAGTACTAAGCAGCCACTTGATGGTGTATCATTTCTGGTTTCTGACCCTTTCCACGGTGCTGGGAGGGAGATGTTATGTTCTGAGAAAAGATCATTCCTGCTTCCTTTGATACAAATCCAAAATCTCAGAGTTCTCCTGTGAGAGACATGATTTTATTTCTTTTCCAGGGCAGCTTCAAGAAGAATTGCGTAAGTCTAGCTTTTCCTGAACTACTCCATGCACAGTTTTTGTTCTACTGAATTGGTCATTGTCTCATGAGTTTCAACTGTCTGTCCCTTGCAGTATGGCGAAGAACCCTCCTAAATGCCGGTGAGTGATCTTGATGTGCCCATGACCCTGAACTTTCTCCCTGCCAGTCAGGTAATGGGTGGTTAGGAGAGATGGAAAAAGGGATCCAAGGCTTAGTGGGGTGAGGTGAGGAGAGCAAGGGTTAGGGCACTGACTCACAAATGTCAGCTCCTGGCTCTTCTTCCCAAGGAATTTTGGCAGCTGTGGACCAGCCCTACAACCAACACCAGGCTCCTTTCTTTCCTGGCATGATTTGACTCATGATAGCTAGAGGTACATCTTGCTTAGCAGACCTCCCGAAGACTTACATTTCAATTGGTGTTGTTCTTGGGTGCTGAATCAATCCACAAAAAGACAATTCAGTTTTATCTAATTGAAACCTGGGCAATAGCATAGGCTCTGCACATCTGAAGACTCAAATGAGGAAAGACATAACGCCAAGCCTGAGGCATAACTATATGGGCACTTAACAAAGTTTATACAATGAAAATATAAACTTATTTTTGTGCAAAAGTTTTTGAAATCCATGCATACAAGGTCTTCAAAAGTTTATGGAGATGCATATTATGAAAAAACTATGTATGGATTTCAAAATTTTTTTTTGTTCCCAATTCAACTCAGCTTTTTATTCCATTTCCATGGACTTTTTGAAGTACCCTCACAGGTGGCCATAAACACCTTCCTTTCCCAAGATAGCATATATACTCTGCCTATCACCCGAGGGGAAGGAAGCCCAAGCCAAGGGGAACCCAGAATACCACAGTCTTCCCCTTAGGGATATTCTGCCTAAGAGTACAAATAATCCAGCATCCAACATGGCCACTTCTGATCCAGATCCTTGCTAATACATCTGGGAAAGCAGTGGAAAACCACCCAAGTGCTTGGGCCTTTGCACTTTTGTGGGAGACCTGGAAGAAGCTCCTGGCTCCAGCATGGCCCAACATGGGGCTTTACAGTCATCTGGGGAATCAAGCAACAGAAGGATGACCTCTCTCTCTCACCTCCCTCTCTTTGTAACTCTACTTTACAAATAAATAAAATGAATATATATTTTAAAGATTTTTTTTTTTATTATTGGAAAGGCAGATATACAGAGCAGAGTCTTCCATCCACTGGTTCACTCCCCAAGCAGCCACAAAGGCTGGAGCTGAGCCGACCTGAAGCCAGCAGCTTCTTCCGGGTCTCACACGTGGCTGCAGGGTCCCAAGGCTTTGAGTAGCCATCCTCCACTGCTTTCCCAGGACATAAGAACTGCTGGAATTAGAACCGCCACCCATATGGAATCCCGGCACATTCAAGGCAAGGAGTTAGCCACTAGGCTATCATGCCAGGCCTGAATCTTTAAAAAAAGAAAGAAAGAAAGAAAGAAAGAAAGAAGAAAGAAAGAAAGAAAAGAAAGAAAGAAAGAAAGAAAGAAAGAAAGAAAGAAAGAAAAGAAAGAAAGAAAGAAAGAAAGAAAGAAAGGGAGGAAGAAAGAAAGAAAGAAAGAAAGAAAGAAAGAAAGAAAGAAAGAAAGAAAGAAAGAAAGAAAGAAAGAAAGAAAGAGAGAAAAAAAATCCAGGCTTCCCCAGTTACTGTGCTCATGGTCCTTTCCTCCTTAGGTGAAATCTCAAAATTTCTACTCAATGAACTTTGCAGAGGATGATAACCTTTCACTATCAGAAATAGCCAGTTGAATAAAAAGAGGAAGTCATTTTAGCCTAAGGATCTGCAGATCTGGGATCTGAAGCATTTTTGTACTGTGAGAGGCTGGCTGTTGTGTAGATTGCAAGACCAAGTTGTGAAAGGAACTCTGGTTGGGAGTTGTTGGCTGCTAGGGAGATTTATCCTTATCTTTACCAACGGAATTGCATCCTTGTCAGATGCTTAAGTCAGTTGCCACCAGGTTGGGAAAGCACAGGGACCAATGAAGAGATGTGCACCATCCAAAATCCTGCAGTGAGATTCCTCCTGACTTAGAGTGGGAGATAAAACCTCCTCACAGATCTAAGCCAAGTAGAATAGATTGGTCCTGCCTTTTTTTTTTTTTTTAATTTATTTATTGATAAGGTAGAGTGGCAGAGAGGGAGAGACAGAGATTTTGCACCTGTAGGTTCATTACCCAAATACAACTGGGGCTGGGAGAGGCTAAAGACAGGAGCATGAAGTTTTGTATGGACTTTCCACATGGGTAGCAGGAACCAAGCACTTGTATCATCATCCATTACCTTCCTAGGTACATTAGCAGGAAGCTGAATGGGAAATGGAGTAGCCAGGATGCCAACCAGCACTCTGACAAGGATGGGCCTATCCCAAGCAGTGGCCCAACCCCAAGAGAGTTTCTGGCTAGGATCTCAGAGATCATCTACCTTTGAAAGAAAAGGGGCAATTGGAAGAATGCTGGAAGAAACTGGGAACCATTCATTTGGACTCATTTGCAAAGCTTTCTGGCTTTTCTAGAACCCCATTTCTCTGTTACTGCTCCTGTCACTGGAGAGATGGAAGTGCAGTTCAGCTCAATGCTTGGCTCCTTATGAATTGCCTGGCATGAAGCTGCCTTTCTTAAAAAAAGGCCCCTGTTTGGTGCGATTCCTCAACAGTGATCTGGGACTTCTCAGGAGGTTCAGGGACTCCCTCCTCCCATCCCCAGAGGTTCTTGTTTGAGATCCAAGACCTAAGCCTGAGACTTTCTCTGCAGCTGATGTGGTTCTGGATGCAGACACTGCTCATCCCGAGCTCTTCCTGTCGGAGGACGCAAGAAGCGTGAGGCGTGGCCCCTGCCGGCAGAGCGTGCCCGACAACCCTGAGCGCTTCAGCTGCCGGCCGTGCGTCCTGGGCCAAGAACGCTTCGCCACGGGGCGGCACTACTGGGAGGTGGAGGTGGAAAACGTAATGGTGTGGGCAGTGGGGGTTTGCAGAGACAGCGTGGACAGGAAGGGTGAAGCTCTACTGCTGCCTCAGAATGGCTTCTGGACCCTGGAGATGTTTGGCAACCAGTACCGGGCCCTGTGTTCCCCTGAGAAGATCCTGCCACTCCGAGAGCGCCTCCGCCGGGTGGCCGTCTTCCTGGACTACGAGGCTGGGGATGTGTCTTTCTACAACATGAGGGACAGATCACACATCTATACATGCCCCCCGCCGGCCTTCTCAGGGCCCCTGAGGCCCTTCTTCAGGCTGGGCTCTGATGACAGCCCTCTCGTCATTTGCCCAGCCTTCACAGGGGCTCGGGGAATCACTGTGCCTGAGGGAGGCCTAATCCTGCACAGACCAGAATCCCACCAGCCCCCACAGGACCGATTTCCTCGTCTCAGAACCATCTCTAGAGAAGGCCTGCCATGAGTCCTGCACCCATGGCAGACAGCAGACACGTTCCTTCTGGTCACAGGACATCTTTGGCCATCTTCTGTGTGTCCACATTCCACCCAACCCCACTGTTCCTCCTCACAAGGTTGTGGCTTTTACCAATTCTTTAGCTCATATCTGCAGACAGGATCCAGTCTTGGGAAAACACACTTCATAGCCATGAATTCAAAAGTGTTGAAAATGGGATGGTCAGAAAGTCTGCATTAATGTCAGAGTGGGCACCATTGAGCCACCCAGGACACCAAAAGCTGAAGACTTGAGGCCAAAACAATTGGAGGCACCAGGATTAAGAGTAAGAAAGAAACTACATGGCCTCCTGGAGAGGAAGACATGTAAATGGAGGTCAGAGATGAAAAGTGGAACCAGAGGCCTAAAGTTTAAAATGGGTAGGGAAGGCAGGGTCATGAATGTAGTCAAGATGCACTATAACAACTGTGGGTCCTTAGAGCTGATGGCCCATTTCCACCCAACCAAAATATCCCAAATGCATGTCCCAGGCCCAGATCTGGGGTGAAGAAAAAAAGACAGGCATGCAGCTGAATCTGTTTGTTCATGTCCCTGCAATGAACAGGAAGTCAATACTTAGTTCTATTTTTTTCTTTTTTTAATATGAAGGCAGATTTGCAGAAAGGAAAGACAGAAAGATTTTCCATCCACTGATTCATTGCTTGAAAGGCCACAATAGCCTGTGCTGAGTTGATCCAAAGTCAGAAGCCAGGAGTTTCTTTCAGGTCTCCCATGCAGGTGTAGAGTCCTAAAATGTGGGCCATCCTCTACTGCCTTCCTAGGCCACAAGCAAGGAACAGGATGGGAAGTTGAGCAGCCAAACCATAAACAAGAGCCCATATGGGATCCTGGCATTTGAAGGGGGAGAATTAGCCAACTGAGCCATTGCACTGGCTCAAGGCCACTGTTCTTATAGCCTCCTTCTTGGCAAAGATAGAAACTAATTCAGAAGTTTGGAGCATTCAAGGAAGTTTTGGATGAGCTATGACTTGCTGCTCAGCCTGAACCCCACTAATCATCCTTCTTACAGGGTTGTGTTTTCCAATATCCCTCTTAAGTTCTTTCCTAGACTTCACAAGAGTAAGGCATCCTGACTGCTCTGACTCAGAGTTCATGTCTTCTTCGTTTGCTAAATTACTGGAGATTTCTATGCTCACCTACTTAAGACTCTTCCATTCTCCAGCTGTCAATATATAGCTTATTAAAACTAAAGAGCTATATATTATTGCTACTCTATATAAAAGCCTGTGGAATATTGCTAAAATAACTGTTGAATTGTTGTAAATCATAACTAGTTTAAAACCTTTGCCATCAGTAATATGGTTTTTATGTGTTGTAATAAAGTGTTGTTTATCTTCTAGGCTAAATAGCTTCTGAGTCTCAGGGTTTGCAACAATTGATAAAGTATTAGAAAACTGCTTTAGCATTTTCAAAATTCAAGTCAGTTTAAATAATTATGGGTTAAAATTCCACATGTTCCTTCAAAGAATTTTTCCTTAATTCAGAACTGTCAATGCTATATGAGATGTAATTTAAAGGAAACTTTGAACTTAGTTCGCATTTAACTGTCTTATGTGGTGGATTTATAACTTGATGTTACATACTCATCCTTTCAGTTGTTTTTGTGCCTTCTAACTGATTTGGGTTAACAACATTATGCAACTTAAAGAAGTTTCATGGGTGCCATTTCCTTTCTTGAGTTTAATTGCTTCAAAATTTTGAACCTTAAAGGAGTTCACTTAAACTGATGTAAATCCTATAGTCTTAACTAAAATACTCAGGTCTGACTTTTCCTTTTAAAAAAGCTTTAATCTGGGCCCAACGTGATAGTGTAGCGGTTAAAATCCTCTCCTTGAATGCGCCAGGATCCCATATGGTTGCCAGTTCTAATCCAGGTGGCTCCACTTCCCATCCAGCTCCCTGCTTGTAACCTGCGAAAGCAGTTGAGGATGGTCCAAAGCTCTGGGACCCTGCACCCATGTGGGAGACCTGTAGGAAACTCCAGGCTCCTGGCTTTGGATTGGATCAGCTCCAGCCACTGGGGCCGGAAGATCTTCCTCTCTGTCTCTCCTCCTCTCTATCTGCCTTTCCAGTGGAAATAAATATATATATATATTTTAAAAAACTTTAACCTGAAAGTTCTTTCACATCTAAGCTCTAGAGCTCATGTTTTTATTATAGAGATTTACAGCTGGATCCATGAAACACTAAATTGGGAGAGATTTTAACTTTCTTGTTGTGATCTAGTTCAGGGTCACAGGTTGGAAGCCATACCTTCTGTACCCACCTGGTCCTTTCTGCCCACCTGTGAGTCAGGTGACACTCATCTATCATCACCTGGAACTTGAGGGTGGGGTGGTAAAGCATTATGTGTACCACTCCCCTCACAAGCCCCCATAAAGGCCCATGATAGGGAGGGGCTCTCTCTTGGTCATGTGCTTCCATTGCTCTTGCACTCTGACTCTTGGCCTCCCCAGTACCTGTTTGCTCTCTGGCTTCCTACAGACAGATTCTGAGAACAGGTAGCCCCTGAACATGGTCCCTTGTACATCCATATTTCTTACCCCCTAGTTGCTGTTTAGGTGACTCAGTGAAGATGCAAATGCTAAGATGCTTTGTATTTTTAATTTGTGTACTTTTAAGAGTTCCAACAGAGGTAAGGCTGAACTATAATGGAATATAGACAGAGAAGCCAGGAAAAGGTGAACGTTTGTGGCTCTCTGTTCAGGTTGCTCACTGCATAGCTCTTTAGGATAATTTATATTGCTGGGGAAGCTGGAACATAGGTCTTCAGTCTAATAAATGCGTTTCACGATAAAGACAATTTGTTCCTCTCAGGGTTTCAATTCAGACTGGATTGCCATGGTGACTTTTCATTTGCTAATTTCTAGTGGGCACTGCCATCACCAAGCTTGGTTAATAAAGACTCCTTAATACATCCTAGACTTGTCTGGCGTGATCTCTCTCACACCCTGCAACAGTCTTATGCTTTGTCATCTAGAATCCAACAAAGCGTTTAAGTTCAAGCTGCAGGCAGTATTTCAGGCACCCTGATGACTTCTACATTCTACTTGGGACCTCTATATCAACCCACTGAAGGATACCCTGCTGCTGTTGCCTCCTTATCCCTAAAGCAGTTAGGGTCCATTCTTCTGGAGGAGGAAATGTAAGGAGTCTGATGAGCTAGTAGGTAGCTAGGATCTGTGTCCCTAGTGAAATTTCTCTTTGAAGATATTAAAGAGTTGGGCCCAGCGCAATAGCGTAATGGTTAAAGTCCTCAGCTTGCACGCTCTAGGATCACATATGGGCGCCGGTTCTATGGGAAAGCAATGGAGGATGGCCCAAAGCCTTGGGATTCTGCACCCACATGGGAGACCCAGAAGAGCTCCTGGCTTCGAATCAGCTCAGCTCCAGCCATTGTGGTCACTTGGGGAGTGAACCATCGGACAGAAGATCTTCCTCTCTGTCTCTCCTTCTCTGTATATCTGCCTTTCCAATTAAAAAAATAAATCTTTAAAAAAAAAAAGAAAGAAAGAAAATATAAAGTGTTAAGCCCAGCGTGGCAACCTAGTCACTAAAGTCCTCACCTCGTACACACTGGGATCCCATATGGGCGCCAGTTCTAATCTCAGCCCTGCTTCCCATCCAACTCCCTGATTGTGGCTTTAGGATGACCGAAAGCCTTGGGACCCTGCACCCATGTGGGAGACCTAGAAGAAGCTCCTGGCTCCTGGATTTGGATTGGCATAGCTCTGGCCATTACAGTGACTTGGGGAGTGAATCAATGGACGGAAGCTCTTCCTCTCTGTCTTTATATATGTAAAGTATTGCTTTTCTGTTTTACCCTTCCACGGGCACATTCCTCCTAGCTCCTTGTTCTGCCATAAAGAATGAGAAGACAGGGATGCCAGTCATCCCCTCTAAGCAGCTTTTTAATCTGAATAAGGAGCTAGATGGGAATACTGCCCATTTGAATGAGTTTCCCTCTCCATCATTTCATTGATTCATTTGTCACCCCTCCCTGAGATGGTGCTTAAACATGTCAACCCTCATGTGTGTTAGGCTTTTCCTCTCTTGGACCACCCCCTGTCACTAGGGCAGGAGACCTCTGTTCCTCTCTGAAGTAAATCTTGCTTTGCACACTGAAATTGTTGGCATGAAAATTCTTCTTTCATGTGAGACATAAGTTGAGTTTGCTGTCATCTTTCCCATTGAATTCTCTACAACAGTAAGATTATTTACATTACAGGAATTGCCAAGATTTGAAAAAGAAAGCAGCCTTTTTTTTTCTGAATACAGATTTATATTTCTTTGTTCCTATAATTTAGTAAATCTATCTTGTTTTTTTTTTTTTATATTTCTGTCTGGCAACATTTACCTTCTTTAAGGCAAACCTCCATATTTACTGCTAAATGCCTTTAGTTGTAATGACTTAGTTTGTCTACTAAAATTGCTTCTGTTGTATTGATGGATTTGTGTGTGTTTTAGAAATAAGCTTGCATGAATATTTTTATTTGTTTGAGCTTTGCCTGATTGTTTTTGGTGCATGATTTTGAAGAATATAAGTTGTTCTGGAAAAAACAACACCATCATTAGCATAAAGAGTCAAGCCTGGAAAGAAACATGAGTTTGAAAGTAAATTCCAATTATTTGACCATTTCGCTATATTTCACAAGTGCTTTCTCTTAATAACTCTTTTTTCCTCTCCTCCCTTCTTCTCTCCTTCCCTCCCTTGTCCTCCGCCCTGTCAAAACCTCTCTGAAGAAGTCAGTTAGCATACAGTTGGAGCCCTTGGTTTTGCCACGGGAGGGCCAAGCACAGAAGTGTCAGGGAGAGGCAGGGCAGACTCACCCAACCTTAGGAACCCTCTGGAGGAACTCAGCTTCCTGAGTCGCTCCCCAACATTCCCCAGTTGAGGGAGGAGGTGTTTTCACTCCTGCACTCAAATGTCTTCCCTGCACACTGACAGT